AGCTGAAGCCGGTAGCCACGGCGCTTTATGGCTTTAATGGAGGAGAAGTTATGCCGATGGGAGAGGTCAGTTTGCCCGTGGCGCTGGGATCAGGGGAGCTGAGCAAGGTGCGCATGGTGAGGTTCGTAGTTGTAGGGGCTGAGTCATCCTATAACATCATCATGGGGCGGACGAGCTTGAATGCATTCCAGGCAGTCGTATCCACGTACCACATGACGATCAAATATCCGGTGGGCGAAAACGTAGGGGAGATTGCCGGAGATCAGCTCACTTCGAGAAGCTGCTACCAAACAACGGTTAGCAATAACAAGCAATTAGCAAGGAGACAGGCCGAGTCGAAGGGAGAAGAAATCAATCGACCAGGAGGATCAAGGTCGAAGGAGGAGAAGCAAAAAGTGGAGAAGGGTAAGGAGAAGATGGACATCCAGCCTGGAGGAGAGGTTGAAGAAATTCAGATGAACGAGGGATGCGAGAGTAGAAAGTTCAGAATCGGGAAGGATCTGGAGGAGCCCATTCGGTCGAGGTTAATCAATTTGGTGAGGGAGTTCGCTGATATTTTTGCCTATACAGCAGAAGAATTAACGGGAATAAGTCCCGAGGTTATCGAACATCAACTAAATATCAACCTCAGCGTGAGGCCGATGAAGCAGAAAAGGAGGCACCATGGGGCGGAGATGGACAAGATTATCGAGCAGGAGGTCGAGAAATTGTTGGGAGCGGGGCATATTAAGGAGATTCAATTCCCTGAGTGGCTGTCGAACACGGTGATGGTGTCGAAGTCGGAAGGAAAATGGAGGATGTGCATTGATTTTCGTGACCTGAATAAGGCGTGCCCGAAGGACCTATATCCGCTGCCCAGAATCGACCAGCTGGTCGACTCAACGGCAGGGTGTGAGTTGCTAAGTCTGATGGATGCATCCCAGGGGTATCATCAAATCCCCTTGGCTAGAGAGGATAGGAAGCGGGTGAGTTTCGTGACGAGTCGAGAGACCTATTGTTACGTGGTCATGCCGTTCGGTTTGAAGAATGCGGGTGCCACGTATCAAAGGTTGGTCGATAAAATTTTTAAGGAGCAACTGGGAAGGAATATGGAGGTATACGTGGATGATATGTTGGTGAAGAGTAAAGAGGAGTTGGATCATGTGCGAGATCTGAGAGAATCATTCTTGACATTGCGGAGATACGGGATGAAGCTAAATCCGGCCAAGTGCTCTTTCGGAGTGAGGTCGAGAAAATTTTTGGGCTATCTGGTGACTAAGAGAGGTATTGAAGTCAATCCGGAGAAGGTTCGAGCTGTGATGGAGATGAAGTCACCAACAAACGTAAAAGAGGTGCAGATTTTGGCCGGTCGAATTGCGGGGCAGAGTCGTTTTATATCGAAGGTGGCGGAGAAGAGTGGCCCGCTATTCAAAACTCTGATGAAGAGCGCGAAGTTCCAATGGACGGAGGAGCGCAAAAAGCATTTGAGGAGCTGCGAGGGGTGTTGGCCAACCTCCCTTTATTGGCCAAACCCGTGCAAGGAGAGGAGCTGGTGCTATACATTTTCATCGGGGAGAGAGCTGTGAGTTCGGTATTGTTGCGGGAGGTAGGAACAACGCAACTCCCTATCTACTATGTGAGTAGAGTGATGCAAGGAGCAGAAACGAGGTATTCGGAGATCGAGAAGTGTGCGCTAGCTGTAGTTGTAACTGCTCGCAAGTTGAGACCGTATTTCTTGAATCATAAGGTGAAGGTGCGAACGAATATGCCGTTGGGAGAAACATTGGGTCGGCCATCGGTCTCTGGTCGATTGGTGAAGTGGGCGGTTGAACTAAGCGAGTATTCTCTGATGTACGAGCCAAGGAGAGCCATAAAGACACAGGTGTTAGCCGATTTTATCCATGAAGGCACAAAAGTCGAGGGGGAGTCAGAGGGACTATGGCAGTTGTTTGTAGATGGATCTGTGGCCCGAAGCGGAGCAGGACTGGGAATTGTTCTGGTTTCTCCCAAAGGTGATTATTTGGAATTCGCGGTTAAGGTGGGGTTCAAGATATCCAATAATGAAGCTGAATATGAGGCGGTGATTAAGGGACTGAGTCTGGCCAAAGCGGGGGGTGCTCGAAAGTTGCAAGTACACTCCGATTCCCAACTGGTGGTTGGGCAGTTAAAAGAAGATTTTGAAGTCAAAGAGGATCGGATGCAGAGATATGTAGATGAAATGAAGAAGCTGAGAGAGGAGTTTGAATCGTTCGAACTAATACATATTCCTCGAGGAAAGAATGGTCGAGCAGACCTATTGTCGAAAATTGCCCAAAGTTTGGTCGATTGTAAGAGCAGAAGTGTCACTCTATTGCATCTGGAGAGAAGTGCAGTTGAGACGGAAGTAGCGGAGATCGAAGAGGTAGAGGATTGGAGGGCCCCGATCTTGGAGGAATTGAGAGAAGGGACTATGAAGGTGGTCAGGAGGTTTTTCGAGCAGGGAGGTACCCTTTACAAGCGGTCATATGGAGGACCACACCTACGCTGTGTCACCAAGGAAGAAGGTCGATATGTGCTGAAGGAGATGCACGAGGGTTGCTCCAGCGATCACAGTAAGTCGGGGGCTTTGATCGCAAGGATCCTAAGGGCAGGTTATTTCTGGCCGACAATGCGAGAGGATGCGAAAGCGATGGTAAAAAAGTGCTTGCAGTGCAAGAAGCACGGTCCCTTGATCCATCAACCGGCTGAAGCGATGACAACGATGAGTGCCCCTATACCCTTCGCTCAATGGGGGGTCGATCTGATGGGGCCAATGCCGCAGGGAATGGGACAGAGGAAATTCCTGATAGTGGCGGTCGATTATTTTACGAAATGGGTGGAGGCTGAGCCCTTGGCAAAGATCACAAAAGAGAAAGTAATCAAATTCCTATATAGCAACATTTGCTGCCGTTTTGGTGTACCCAAGGTGTTGATTTCCGACAACGGCACCCAATTCAATGGTAAGCGGATTCGAGCGTGGTGTGAAGATATGAGAATCGAGCAGCATTTCGCCTCGGTAGCTCATCCGCAAGCCAACGGCCAGGTCGAGATAACCAATCGGATCATATTGAACGGGCTGAAAACAAAGTTGGAAAAAGGCCTCGGGAGCATGGGTCGATGAGTTGAACTCTGTGTTGTGGGCGTATCGTACGACCCCGCGGTCGACCACTGTAGAGACCTCGTTCAGCTTGGCTTACGGAATGGAGGCATTACTGCCGGTCGAGATCGAGATGCCATCCCAGAGGTCGAGCGCATACAATACGGAAAAGAATGAAGACTTGATGATAGCGGCTTTAGACACTATCGAGGAACTACGAGGGAAGGCAGCAATCAGGGTGGAGGCGTATAAGCAGAGGATGCGCGCGGCTCACGACAAGAAAGTGAAGATTCGCAGACTTCAAGTCGGCG